CCAGTACCCCCCCCCCTTCCAGGGCAGTGAAGTGAATGTCATTGGCATTGGCACCAGCGTGGTCACCTGCCCCCGCCAGCCTTCCCTGGGCTGCGTCTACAAGGTAGAGACAGGGACTGGGGCCCATGGGGGGAGGGCTGTGAATGTTCCCACACCCCGTGTGGTTCAGGGTTCAGGATCTGGAGAAGGGGCCGCACGCAAATGAAAGAGACGAGACAAGAAATAATCATTTGGAAATATTGGGGGGCCAGGCGGGAAAGCCCAACTCAAGGGGAAGGACTTCCACTGGTGCCAAGGCCTCGCCAGCCTTTTATTCAACGTTGGATACACATCTAGCTCTTAGGCAGGTAATTGCGGTAGCAGACAGACTATCTTAAAGGCCAGTAAATATTAGAAGGATTTGGTCAGGAAATAGCTTGAGCCCCCAATGTCTGGACTAGACAGTCGGTGCATAGCTCTGGCCCTAGCCATGGGTGCAAGGTCCACCAGCATTCCGGACCCTTGTTTGCACTTCCTGCAGCCGCTGTGGGCATCATGGGTTGGGGAGGGTCCAGCTCTCTCCACACCCTGTCCCTGCAGCTGGTGTCCGTGGGAGGCCAGCCTCGGATGAAGCTGACCGAGGACCCCGAGAAGCAGACCTTGCCGGGGAGCAAGGCCGCCTTCCGGCTCCTGGGCTCCGATGGTGAGGCCCCACACCTCTGAGGCCCCCCTCCACGCCCCAGGCCCCCACTTCATTCGTGGTGCCCTCCCCCAAACCCCCGCCACAGGGTCTCCGCTGCTGGACCTGCTGCAATTGGCGGAGGAGCCGGCGCCCCAGGCCGGCCAGGAGCTGAGGGTCTGGCCTCGAGGGGCCCAGGAGGCCTGTACCGTGAGGCCGGCCCGTGTGGAGCCACTCCTGCGACTCTGGGTCCAGCAGGGGCAGGTGACGACTCCACCCACCCGCTCAGTCTGCACCCGCAACCCACATCCAGCCCTGACCCCTGACCCTGAGCCCCTTCTCTTCCCTCAGCTGTGCGAGCCCCTCCCATCTCTGGCCGAATCCAGAGCCTTCGCCCAGCGGTCCCTGAGCCAGCTCAGCCCCGGCTGAGCGCCGGAGCCCCCCTGTCGGAGCCCCCCTGTGAGAGCCCCCCTGTGAGAGCCCCGAGGAGCTGCCAGAAGTTAACAGGAGTCGCTCACAGTCCCCACAACGTGTCACGTGTCATTTCTTCTCCCAGGGCTCGGAGGGGTGCAATCAGATGAGAGGTCATGCTCCCAGGAAGGCCTGTGCTGAGGCCGGGAGCCAGGCCAAGGCCGGAGCCTCTGAGCTCCGAGAGCTGGGCCCTGGGGGGCAGATCTGAGCCTGGACAGGGCAGGGCCGCGGGGAGCTGGGGGA